TTTCAGAGGGCATTTAATGGTAACCATTTCAGAGGGCATTTAATGGTCAACTGCTGTGGGTCCAGAGTCACATACAGGCCAGACCGGATAATGATAGCAAGATTTCCTTCTTAAAAAGGCTTCAGTGAGCCAGAAGAGGTTTTTACAAAAATCAATGCTAGTTTCATGGCACCATTACTGAGACCTATTTTCACTCACTTTTTTTTTCTTTATTCATTCATGGGATGAGGGCATCACTGGCTAGGCAGCATTTATTGCCCATCCCTAATTGCTCAGAGGGCAGTTAAGAGTCAACCATGTTGCTGTGGGTCTGGAGTCACATGTAGGCCAGACCAGGTAAGGATGGCAGTTTCCTTCCCTAAAGGACATTAGTGAACCAGATGGGTTTTTCCCAACAATTGGCAATGGATCATGGTCATCATTAGATTGTTAATTCCAAATATTTATTGAATTCAAATTCCACCATCTGCCATGGCAGGATTCGAATCCCGGTCCCCAGAACATTATCTGGATCTCTGGATCTCTGGATTAACAGTCCAGCGATAATACCACTACCTCCCCATTCCCATTTGTTAATGATAATGAAATGAATAGCCACTTTCAAGAGTTTCTATAAGTCTGTTCCAACCTGTAGGTGCAGCAGCATGTCAACTCTATTTGGAATGAATACTTTGTTTCCCTAGTCTGGAACTCCTATTGACTATAACTCTGTCACATAACATTAGACCACTCTGACCTCCAACCTCACCATACCCTGTGAACACCGATGTGCTACTTACAGCCGCTTTTGTGCTTTTTGGATAAGGCAGGGGCTTTGCGAGTTTCTCGACATCTGCTCCACTCGAGCCGACGCGTGTGTAGGAGTAAGACCCGCGGATGTAAGGGTTACTGCCCCAACCAGACCGCAGGATCCTCCGGGGTTTCGGAATGTGTGGGTTCCCTGCGGACACAATTTTGAAAGAGTTCAGCACATTTCCCAGAATTCTCTAGGGTGAGTGTCAAGTAACATTCCACTTTGAAAATATGCTCATAAGATGTTGACAACTGCCTCATCTCATTGAAGAGTTATGCAAGTATGAGGTATAAAGTTTATAATCCATTGAAGCCAAAGGGATGTCAATTGACTCAGTCATCCACCAGCTGCCAGCTTGAGGCAGGTCGCAAATAAATGATTGAACTGTACTTTTGAGTGTTTTTGTTTGCCAGAATCTGTGTTAGCACTTAAAGCTCCAACAGCAGATGTATATCTAGCAGTGCATGGTGAATTTAGTTACAAAAAGGAACTTGATATCAAATAAGCGGTTAAATGCAAACATCCAACAAAGTTGATTTGAACTGTGGGATTAGTACATGCTGTGCACAATGTGACCTGCTTGGGCACATTTGAAAAAGGCACTCAATGTATCTTTACAAGTCATTCACGCAATTTCATTAATATGAAGCCTTTGTCACTGCATTTGCAACTAGGAATGACCCACAGTTTGTCCAATGTTACCACATGAGTTTCCACTTTCTCGGAATGTTGTAGATTTAACATAATGGATCTAGAGTTTCCGTGTGAATTCCACCCAGAATCTAGGCAGAAACAGATTGCAGAATTCTAAGGAGAAGTGAGTTACGCCCATAATCACTTTAGTCTGGATTACATATTGAGGCTCATACCAATGCATTTGAGTAAACATTTCCACTTTGGCAAAAATCAGTGTCCAATCCATTCTTGCCATACTTTACCAATTGGCCCCTAGCAAAAACACCACATCAGGAGGATTCTTCGCTCTTAGCCAATATACTTATGAAAAGAACTGGGTGGCGACCCAGTCCAGAGCAGAGCTGTACATCGTAATTGCTGATATCAACAATCAGGGCGTACATTGTGGAATTTCCACTGGCCACAATTAAAAGTGAAACTGCGAGTGTGTTCATGTATGAGCTCATAAGCTCACTAACAATGGCAAACCATTGAAATCTTACCCCATGAACGTTCCAGAGGTGCTGGGGGGATGGTCACGCAAGTGTCACGTTAAGGCAACCGACCTGTCAATGATGTAGGGAGTAATATCACATCATCTGCTGTTAAACAAGCCCTGCACCAGCAGCGATACAGTTCACAAGCCAGCTCCAATACCATCGATCATTTCAGCCAGGTCACTTGCTATTCAGCCCACTGAGTTGGTTAGACTGTAGCCCAAGAGTGTGATAGCAGTGCTCTTCATTGTCATAGCTGCCTTACTGGTGAGAGGCTGCACTAGCCCCTAATGGCCATGCCCCTGCTGCTATTAACCCAGCACTATGGGTTAGTGCTATGGGTTGCACTATGCCTCACCACCATCACCACCCCCAAGCTGACTGAATCTCCCCTGAGATAACAAGGTTTAGAGCTGGATGAACACAGCAGGCCTAGCAGCATCATAGGAGCAGGA